GTTTTCTTTAGTGGCGCAAAATACATGTTATATTTTTATATTTTGGCGCAAATTACATACGTACTTAAATGTACCTATTCGTGGCGCAAATTACAAGTAATAAAAATGGCGCAAAATACCATCTCCCGTTGCTCTGATATCAACAAAAATATCAATGATATTTCTCATCCAAAATTCTGCTTTTTATGTGGTGGAAATTTCGTTTCTTAGTTATGTCTGTAGCCTTCTGGTTTCTTTTTCACGTAAAACATTCTATAGGAAATATTCAAATTTTCAATGTTTATTTATATTTAATATTTGGAATATTATTTATTAATTATATCACTATTAATCTTATACATTTTAYTATGGTTATTTACTTTTAATTAAAAGTTGTGTAACATAAATATAAAAAAAAAATGTTATAGTGATAGATAAATTGTGTAGGTGACAAATTTTATAATGTGTGGTGGTAGGAAATAGCAAACAAGTACCATTGTTTAGGAAAAATTTAAATGATATATTCAATTGAAAATTGTTTAATCATTTTTATTAAGCTAAATTTCAGACTAATAATTGAATAAGAATAAATTTTAAAGAACTTGTGATTAACGATAACTAACAAACACATAATTTTCATTTATTATATAGACCAGGGGTGGCCAACAGGTCAACTACAAAATTATTTTGAGTTGATCGTGAGTCCCTTCATTCATTAAATATAAATTAATAAATTACTTTCATTTTTCATTTGTTATTTATTAAATCCTGGTAAATCAATGTTAATTGCAACAAACCAGAAAACTCAAGTATTATTACAAGTCCATTTAAGGTGGCCACCCTAAGTATAATAATAATATTGTAAAGTTATATTATTGTTATGATATAATATTACGTTTCATTGTTATTAATTGTCTAAATTAATGAAAATCAAATATTAAATGAAAGTTGCTCATGGTAGGTTAAAATATGTAGTCTTATTTAATTTAATTCATTTTTATCCACCTAAGTTATATAGTTTTTATTTTCTGCATTTTTAAAACATTTGCTGTACTTGATGACAAATAGTGCATAAGATAAATTAATTGAGGGTGGACTATAGCCATTTAGATTTTAGTAAAGTAAGATGTATTTAAGTTACATTATAATATTTAAATTTATTGATTTAAAATTAATTCTATTTAATACTTTATGAATAAGGCCCTCATTTTTGTGCATCAAATCTTTGAACTACCTACAGTTAAAATGTTAAAAGGAGCAGAATTAGGAAAGAGCAATTTTTTCAGTCTAGATATTTCAAATTATATTTCCATTCCTATTTACTTTATACTAGCTAACCCTGATCTGTGCACGTCATCAACATTGCAAAAAAAATAATAAATAATTGATTTTAAATTGGTGGATAGTAATAACTAGGGCATAGAACTTGGAACTCTAAATATGCCAGCACTTATGCACTTAAAAATTTTTTTAGTGAATTTATTTAAAATTATTAATAAAATWAATACCATGTAAAACAAATCAAAAAAAATACATAATTTAAATATATATTGTACCATAGCCATATGAACTAAATACATTTTTCTTCATTTTATATTTCTTCTTCTGTCACTAAAAAGAAAAAAATA